AATTAATTAGTTGACAATTAACTGTATATATACATAGGGATTTTCAAAAATCATTCCTACAAATCATACAAACCAATCAATTGAGAAAATTATGAAAATAATGAAGATTCATTTATTATGATTTGGATATTTATGAAAGATAATTACAGTTCATTAATTATGATTTAACAATATATATATATATATATATATATATATATATAAAGAAAACCCAAGAGGTATTGAGGTGACATCATGAGAATTAAGTATTGAGGTGTTTGGTGAATTGTGGTTGAGTTTGAAATATCCCACATTGGTGAGAAATTAGAAGATTGAGATAATGATGTGTGTATAAGAATGAATATGAGATTTATTCTGTCAACACATGGGGCCTATTTTTGTAAGACAAATCTTATTATATAAAAATAAAAATGAATTGTGTTTATAATTATCTATATATATATATATATATATATATATATGTATATATATATATATGTATATATATATATATATAATAAAAGAAGTACCAAGAGGTGTTGAGGTGATAACATGAGAATTGAGTATTTAGATGTTGATGAAAAGGCAAAGTAGGTTGCTGGGAAAGTCTCCTCCTGCTCGTAAACCTATAGTACACCACCACTGATAAAACACCATAATATCTTCAAAAAAGTATCAAAATGTAGTTATATAAGCTATCACTTTTGCAATTAAAGATCGTCTCATTGAAGGGAAAAGTGAGAGTATCAAAACCCCCAATTCCTATAGAAGATAGGTTAGTGGAAGGTAGGCGCCTTCATGCTGAAAGAAGGGAGAGCCCCTTTCCTGTTGTTGTCTCTAATTAAACCACAACAACCTTTCCTTTGATAGTCGACAAGCTTGATTTCGTTGCAAATTGAGCAGCAAACGGTGTCCCTCTTCTTGTACCCTTCTACATACATATCCCCACCCGACCAGATACATACATACTTTTTCATGCCTTCACTAGGAATGATTGACCTTCGGATTCAAATAATAGCACATAATGCATCTGGCGCGAGATGATAAAGAGAGAGCTCCGTCTATCGATATATATATATATATATTAAAGGTCAATCCAAGAGGTATTGAGGTGACATCATGAGAATTGAGTATTGACGTGTTGGTGAATTGTGATTGAGTTTGAGATATCCCACAATGGTGAGAAGTTGAAAGATTGGGATTGAGATGTGTGTATAAGAAAGAATATGAGATTCATTGTGTCAACTCAAGGGGTTTGACTTATAAAGTTATCTTATTTGGATGACCCTATTTTTGCAAAACAAATCTTGTTATATAAAAACAAAAATGAAATTGTATTTATAATCATATATACAAAATAAAAGAAATATCAAAAGGTATTGAGGTGATAACATGTGAATTGAGTATTTAGATATTGGTGAAAGGGTAAAAGATTGGAATAAAGAGGTGCATATAAATAAGAATGATTAGATTCATTGTTTCAACTCATGAGGCTTGACTCATCAATCATCAATATATATATATATATATATATATATATATATATATATATATAA